GCTGGGGCGCGGCCGCCTGTCTGCACCGGCAGCACCATGTCGCTCATGGTCGTCAGCGTGGCGTGTGTTGGTGAGTCCCGGAAGGGAATCGACGGAGGAAGCTCTGGGGTGGAGATCTGGGCCTGGAGGGGAGATCTGGACCTGGAGGTTGAGTTATGGGCCTGGAGTGGAGATATGATCCTGGAGTGGAGATCTGGGCCTGGAGTGGAGATATGATCCTGGAGTGGAGATATGATCCTGGAGTGGAGATCTGAGCCTGGTGTGGAGATATGATCCTGGAGTGGAGATCTGGGCCTGGAGTGGAGATATGGGCCTGGGGTGGAGATCTGGGCCTGGAGTGGAGATATGGGCCTGGAGTGGAGATCTGGGCCTGGAGTGGAGATATGGGCCTGGGGTGGAGATCTGGGCCTGGGTGGAGATATGGGCCTGGGGTGGAGATATGGGCCTGGGATAGAGATATTGGCCTGGAGTGGAGATTTGGGCCTGGAGTAGAGATATGAACCTGGAATAGAGATAGGATCCTGGAGTAGAGACATGAGCGTGGAGTGGAGATATGGGCCTGCAGTGGAGATCTGGGCCTGGGCTGGAGATCTGGGTCTGGAGTGGAGATAGGAGCCTGGAGGGGAGATATGGGCCTGGAGTGGAGATCTGGGCCTGGAGTGGAGATATGGGCCTGGGGTGGAGATATGGGCCTGGGGTGGAGATCTGGGCCTGGGTGGAGATCTGGGCCTGGGTGGAGATATGGGCCTGGGATAGAGATATTGGCCTGGAGTGGAGATTTGGGCCTGGAGTAGAGCTATGAACCTGGAATAGAGATAGGATCCTGTAGTAGAGACATGAGCGTGGAGTGGAGATATGGGCCTGCAGTGGAGATACGGGTCTAGAGTGGAGATACGGGCCTGCAGTGGAGATCTGGGCCTGGGCTGGAGATCTGGGTCTGGAGTGGAGATAGGAGCCTGGAGGGGAGATATGGGTTTGGAGCAGAAATATGGGCCTGGAGAGGATTCCGGGCCTGGAGTGGAGATATGAGACTGGAGTGGAGATATGGGCCTGGAATTGAGACATGGGCCTGGGATTGTGATATGAGCCTGGAGTGGAGATATGGGCCTGGGGTGGAGATAGGATCCTGCAGTGGAGATATGGGTTTGGAGTGGAGATATGGGCCTGGAGTGCAGATATGGACCTGGCGGGGAGATATGGGTTTGGAGCGGAGATACGGGCCTGGAGTAGAGATATCAGCATGGAGTGGAGATATGGGCCTGTTGTGTAGATCTAGGCCTGGGGTGCAGATCTGGATCAGGAGGCCGGGTCTCTGCACAGCTGACATCCCTGCTGCGGGGGCAGGTAGGCAGCCAGGCTGAGTTTACCTTCAGCCCAGCAAGGGCCTGGCTGCCCAGACGCACAGCCCCGTGGGGGCAGCAGGGGAGGCCCTGGTTTGCCT